CTCCCCTAATAGATTGGTAATAATCTCTATCTACCAGGATCATTGCCAACAGTTTGTCACTGTTGATTGCCCGAAAATTAATGAATTTCTAAGTTAAAAGGGGAAAGGGGAAGAATGATTTAGGAAAGGGGACAATTCAAGGCCCATCAAAAAAATCTAAAAATAAAAACAACCTCTTTTCAAAAGGAATCTACCTGATTGAAATAGTCTTCTTGTTTCATTTGAACCTTGGAAGGAATCTTCTTTTTCATCACCTGCGGCATCAGACGAGTCAATCCAACTGGTCTTTCATTTAAGTTAGCACTGAATTGGGATATCTCAAGAAAAGCATTTAGACCTCAGCTTTTTTCCATTAAAGCTTTATCACCACTTGAGAAACTTAGGTAAGAGACAGGAGTTTGCAATCCACATTACCCATCACTTGGTCTTTTGATGTCATAGAAGTTTTCATTAAGGGATTTTAGCTTTTTGGGAGCAACCGTTTCCTGAACTTTCTTTCTGATCACTAATGATGTCATTGGAACATGTGATTGTGACCAATAGGAACTTGTTTACATTCCAAAAAACTAACGTGTTTCATGTCAGTCAATCATCTTTGGTGAGGATTTGTGCTACTAAAAATTTAGGGTCAAATTGAGGTAGGCAAAATTCCTCAGAAAATCATGAAAGTGATAGCTCTAAGAGGTCCAACAGTGACTGGAAGGGGAAAAATAAGTCCTTCTGTTATCAAAAATCTCTATATACCTCTTGCTTCAAAGGTTAAAAAGACCTTCAGGTATTTTACAGTTAGTTCTTCTTCCTTTGGGAACTCTCTTGCCATTGGTATCAAAAGTGTTACTTGACTTTTCTTGATTACTAGAAGTCAAGTTTTTGAGTAAAGAGATTTGTAAACAAAAGGGAAAGGGTAGAGGTGACTCTTGAAATCATACTTCAAGTTGTTTTAAAGAAAGTATTAAGACTTTATTAGCCAAGAAGTATAAAAACTTCTTGCGAACATCTTTTTTGTGTGTGATCAGAGGATCAATGGAAAGAGTTTTTTTTTATATAATTTAATTATAGTATATATCATATTTATTGAATAAATATATATTTTTTTATTTTTAATTAATAAATTTTTAATTTAATTTGATTATAAATTATTTGAAAAAAAAAAAATTTCAAAATCGAAGATACTGTAGATAAGTTTCCTAGATAACCTAATAATTTTTATTTAAAAAATATTAGAAATATAAATTTTTTAAAAGAAATTATCTTTTATTTTTTAAAAAATCATTTTTTTTATATATTATATATTAAATATTTTATTTTTTTTAAAAACTGCTATAATACGGTAGATATTATGCTACTCAAATGTATAAACTTGTAAAAACAATATTTTTAACTTTTATTAAAATATATATACTGTATAACAAAAAAATTTTTGATGATATTAAAAATAAAAGACAGTGTGTATAGTAAAAGGAAAACAATTTGTTGCCATGTACTGTATTGTTTCGGTAAGTTCAAGATGACAGATGTCCGATTTGTTTGTACACCAAGATTTGATTGGTATTTAGTTAGGTACGGTAGTAACCTTGTGTTAATAAATAATAGAATAATAGAATGGTGCCATGTGACATCAATGCCCAAAACACTACACAGTAATTGTTACTGTAATTCTGCGATGCAAATTAAAATCGTGGATGAAACCTTAACGACACCATTAATTAGGTACCACAAATTAAGCTTTAATGAATGATGATAAGGCAATGTGTCACGACAGCAAAAGTGTTGACAAAAGTGGAAATTTCAAACGGAATGTATAACAACTAACTTCGCTACATGTCGTTTTCAATCTTTCTTTCCGGACAATGAAAAAAAATAGTTTTTTTTTCTTCTAGTCTGAAAAGCTTATTATATAATCATCATTCCTTTTTATTCAATATTGTCTTGATTTTCCGTTCACTTTCTTTACTTTTTTTCCTTTGATTTCTATGCTATGCTTTGTTCTTTTACAATAAAATTCTGCCTTTATAATAAATCAATTTTATTTAAAATTTTACCTTTTTCGGTATACATACTCTCTTTTTTCGAGAATTCATCTTCGTCTTTAAAAGAAACTGTGATTTTTTCATAAATTCGGGCACGTGGAAAAAATAATAAATACACACGTGTGTTTCAAAATCAAAAAAAAAAAAAAAAATGGATGTGAACGACGATACTAGAATGATACTTTCTTTGATTAATAAAATCGGATCTAAGGTCAGAATGCACGGTTAAGAGTTAATTTGAAAGAACATATTTGATCCGCTTGATCTGATCATTACCCCTTCTTTTTTCGAATCAACTCATGTCTCTTGATCATTTGGTTAAATAAAAATACAGCTACCATGTAAGAGCGGCAAAAAATTAGAGGTCTTGGAATTAGATCCGCTGATTCTACAAACGGCGAATTCCATTGTTGAGTTGTCACGATATAGATTGAGTATAATAGCAAAAAACCTTACCAATCTTTTGGAAGAGATTTCACAGGTAAAACGGACAATCAATAGATTTGAGATAATAGTGTACGAAACAATTTAATTTAACACGCATTTAATTGGGAAAGCCTTCGCCGACGGCCCTAGATGAACTTTTCCCATACGAAGTTATGCAATCTCAATTATTTATCCTAAAAATCATGTCAGCATGTATGACACATCATTGGAAGTGTTATCGGGGAACGCAGAAAGAGAATGATACCACGATAAAATCCCCCACTACACATTCGGAATTACCACCAGTTTCTCCTGCATCAACTGGTAGTGAAGAGTCTTCTTCATCTTCCCCTTCACCTCCAACTTCAAATAACGTATCTTCACGACAATTCCGAGCACCGAAATCATGGGACGATCCGCCGCCACTAGATGATTCATTAGCAGGACATATTTTAAATGTGCTATCGAGGTTCCTTCATCAAATGGCTAATCTGGAGGATAACAATCCGAATTTGCAATCAAATGGAGTGCAAAACTCTAACGGCCACAATCAAAGTTCAGCACAATCTTCAGCCATATATGATATTGTGTGTGACATATTTAAAAACGCCGGTCGTGTGATATTTTATATTAGTGCATCAAACTGGAATATCGTCTTCTCCAAGATCAGAAGTCGAATCAAGTATTTAACTACCACGAATGATGAATGGCCTGATACCTCTGAATTGAAATTGTTGGAGGTATCGGATTTAAATTCAAAGAGATTGTCAATGGTTTTGCAAGGTAGCTTGTCATCTCTAAGTCCAAATGTTATTCAAGATTTTGAGGATTTCATGAATGTATATACTATATTATTATTATTATTTTTTTTTTTAGAGTTATGCAATACATTTTTAGATATAAAAAAAACGGCACAAATAACGATAGCGACGGTGCTACGAAAAGCCATATGGAATTGGATTGAAGTGTTTCCAGCGGAATTCGTCACACTTTGCCAGTCACAAGGGCGTATGGAAGGAGGACCCGAGATACTTTTTGATATGTGTAATAACTCAGCTGATAATAGTAAAACTCGCAAGGCTGCTTTCTGGCCTTTACAAATTATGTTACTGATTTTGTGTCCGGATATTTTACTTAACGCTGCTATGGATAAGGCGGTTAGTACGAATAAAAAGGCGAGTTGAAATTATTTATGCGTACATTCCCAAAGTCTTTTTTTTTTTTTTTTTTCAAAAAAAAAAAAAAAAAAATCTGTTTGATGTATTTTACTGATATTTTATCTTTAACCTGGAATTCCAATAATTATATAGGATTTTAGACCAGCTCGTCCCACACCTAGAGTATATATCATTACTTCTTGTCATTTCAGGAGTAAATAAATCATAACAATCGATTAACATTAAGTATACGTACACTTGTGATCCAGGCCCAATTTTTAGAAAATTTAAGAAAACAATTACGAGGAAAGACTTTTGCCGATGTTGCGGCCATATGTTATGTGGATATTTGTAAGGCTTCGACGTACATTAACACGCACGATTCTCTAACCCTGAGGACGATTGTTCCTGATATTGAGGATGAATTGAAGGTTGGTGTTTAACTTCGCGTTTACCTTCTTTTCAACATTTCCTATTCAATTTGCATCGTGTCACCAATCCTTATAACACCATTTGGATACAGGATAAATTGTTCGAACCCGAAAAGCCATTTCCAAGTAGCGACAACGTAGATCAACAATTAATGACCGATTGCCTGATAGCCTTGTTTCGACTGAATCCAAAGGAAACGTTGTCCACTTTGGTGCCTATTTGCTTGCATGAAAATGCACCCGGTGCCTTCAAATTGGTGCTTGTAAGGAGCTGCAATACTATTGCCTCAGAGGTGAATTATATCTTTTTATTGAATAGAATTGTTTGTATTTTTTTTTTTTTTTTTTTTTTTTGTGGTAAAAATAATGGTATTTTGTATGATATGATTGTCAGGAAAATCGCCTGCCATGGAGTCCACAAATTTCATCGATGCGTTCAAAGTTGGCGTCACCGTTAAGAAAATTATTCCAGGACCTAATGGCGAATCGTAATAAGGTTAAGAACAAGAGGGCGATAGAAAATTCTGAAATAATCTTGAACTTGTTAAAACTATATCGATCTGATCCAAAATTGGCTATAGCGGTATGTAAATGTTGAGAGATGTGGTGTTTGGGAATTCTTCTATGTGCCTGATTTAAGATCAACGTTCATTTCAATGATACCTAGGGGAAAGAGACGAATGAAAAAACAAGTGAAAACCAATCAATAATTTTGGGAATTACTGAGTGTTTAAATGATGCCAACAATTTAATTAAAGTTACTGCAACCGAGACTCTAATAGAACTTCATAAAGTCGAACATATTGAGTTATGGGGCGCACCATTGCAAAATTTCTGGATTATAAGGTAAGAAGGACGAACAACCCATTATTCATTATTCATTATTTCCACTGATCTATTTTTTTTTAATTAATTTATAGCTCTCAGGTCACTCTTGCAGTTGCGAAACAAATCTTGGATGTAAAAGAAAAGGACGATGGTCCTAGATACATGCTGGATCTGTTATGCCAGCTATTAACTCGGCGCAATGAATTCCTAAAAAATCACAAGGTATACTGCACTGAATTTGAACCATTGCATTACGTTATCTATCATCGGTATCTTGATTTAACACAACTATTAATTATTTGCATGCATGCTTTTTTTTGAAGGATGAACCTCTCAAGTGCAACAATGTTCCCGATCGCCTAACATCGAATATTCATCTAGAAACTGCTTGCTTGGTCTTATTATGTTCTTCGGATTTGGAGATTTGTTCAATGGCGTTAGAATGTTTTAGCCTCATGTATCAAGAAGCCCTGTTAACCACAGAGAGTTTTGCAAACGATGCAGAAACTTCGGAATTACCGCCACCACCGCAAATGACAATTGTCGAGAATATTCAGGTATACAAAGAACTATCCATAAATTCTACGGTGCTATTCGGTAGAATGGCACAGCAAAGGCGTATTCGCAAATTATTGAGAATGATGGTGAATCCAACCCCCGGTAATCTTGGAGCATGGGAAGAGGCATTGAATAGGTGGAAGGCCTTAACTCTGGTGATAGCGAAGCCAACCGAAGATCAAATTCCTGGATCTACCAACGTCAGAAGGTTCTTTGTTCCTCCTATTTCCAGGTCACAAATTCAGACCACCACTCCCGGGTTGTCCGAGGTATGTCACATGTTGCGTTTTTTTTTTTTTTTTTTTTTCCCATGATATGCCGATATGTGTTGATTCCAATAAATTTTTAGGATCAGTCCACCGAGTGGAGCTATTACACCCGATTTCTCGCAGCGTTAGGGGGCTGCTGCATTCAGGACAAATTCATAAATGCGTCGCGTAGGACATCCACACCGCACGCAAATGATTATCATTCTATGGTTGAGAAATATGTACAAGATATGGTGGATTTGTTGGTCTGCGACAGTAGCTTTGTCCGCGAGAATGTTAAGGAGACCCTTGGAACTGAATTAAGTCCGAAACTATATGTGATACTTTTTAATCATCTAGAATCCATAGTGTCAAGATTTTTCGAATCTGCCAATCCGAGTGAACGATACACATTGTTCGTGGATCAATCTATATCTGTGCTGAGGTTAATTTTAGAGCGAATTTTCGATACTTCGGATAATTTATATATTTGTGATATCGGCGGGTTGGTCCTTTCATTCGCAAAGTATCTGAGCAGACTGGGCGCCGGTAATAATGCGCTAAAGATTAAAAAACGAATGTGTCAGTTGACCGAATTATTGATGGCTAAAAAGGAATTTGTGAGTCTTCGGCAAGAGATAAAACTAAGAAACCTTTTGATGGAGATCATCATTGAATGGACTTCCGATTACTCAATGGTAAATAACGCGTCGAAACATATTTTCTCTCTCTCAAACTTTTCGAGTTTTCGGCTAAACGGACAAATGTTTTCTACAGAAAACTGATTCCTCGAGTTCAAACGAAAGTATATCAAACAAAAATGAAAGACTGCACCGAGAGTTGGATCAAGCGTGTTTGAAAACGATAGTCGAGTTGCTGTATCAACTGCCTTTACAGCCAAACGAAAATATCCATGATACTGACTTGAGTCAAACCAAATCTAAGCTATTCGTCAAATATTTTACTTTCTTCATAAAATTATTAAATCGATGCCGCATATTGGAGGTAGGTTTTCTTTTTCTCTTTTTTCCATAAATGAAGTTATGATTTTAGATGCTGGACATCCCCTATGCGTCGATATCAACACAATATAAAAAAGATTGTTGACGCTATGAACATTATGCTACTATAAGGCCATCGATAGTGGGACACACTCCGCGAAGAACAACCAGGATTTACAGATGCTGCTCTCAAAGGTATTCTTATCATCATCTTGTGTTTATTGCGGGCTTGATTTCAGCTCTCGGCAAGATAACTGTTTTTTCTTCATTGCTGATACGCGTTATTTCTCTACATTTCCAGTCCAAGGAATATGTCAAAGATCTTGGACCATTAAAAGAGAGCACGATTTCGGCATTATCAAACCTCTTGAGCGCAAATGTAGACTCTGGTCTAAAGTACTCATTATCTATGGGTTTTCACGAGGATACGAAGACTCGAACTGCGTTCATGCAGGTTCTCAGAAATATCCTTCATCAAGGAATTGAATTTGAGGGTTTAGGAGAGAACGCCATGAAAGATCGTTACGAAAGACTTGTCGAGGTACATTGCTATTTGTCTATTTCTTTCTCGAAAGATGTGGAGCCTGATAAATAAATAAATAAATATTTTAGACCATCGTAACTTCCGATTTCGATATTGCCTTGTCAATTTGCGATGCGTGTGATGCTGCTCGCGTGATGACAGCGATTTTTGACTCCCGTGATAGGTTACTAGACCTATTGAAGGCGGCACTCGATAGAGACATCATAAACCCTGGTATGAACACGCAAAGACTATTTCATTTCGTCGCTCATCATCAATAGTTCAACATTATAATGATTTGAAAACCTTCTTCTCAAGGGTACGGAGCCGATGTCTTCAAGCATACAAATAAGACTACAAAATTACTGTCCCTGTTCGTTAGATCACAAGGTACTGAATATCTTAGGGAAACGTTACAGCCTGTTGTGAATGAGATTCTTTCGAAACCAAGCGATTTTGGCGTGGAGATAAATCCTGACAAGATTGCCAAAGCTTTCTTGGATGCCATCTGTTCTTCCGCCGACATCATGCCTAGGTATCTTTACACCCTTCACTATTTATATCGATTCGTCAAGTTTCTGACATAAAAATAAAAAAAAAAATTTTTTTTTTCGTAGATCCCTCAAAATTCTTTGTCACCACATTGCAAAAACCGTTGAACAAAACCATCACAACAAGTCAATAACAACGCTTGGAGCATTTATATTTTTAAGATTTTTCACTCCTGCAATAGCTTCACCGGATACCGAAAATCTTTGCAAACCCATTGAAACTGTCAAGCTAAGGCAAATATTTGTGGCGAGTGCAAGAATCATACAATCCTTGGCGAATATACGAGAAGGTGTGACGTTCGGAGGTCGAGATAGACACATGAATGAGATGAATGGATTCTTTCAAGAAAATCTAGAAAAGATGAATGAATTTTTGCGAAAAATCTCGGTAAGAATGTTGTTAGCAGTTTAAATCACCTTTTGACCTTATTTACGTTGTCCACTGATGTATTTCATAGCAATTGCCAGTCTCGACGCCGTCGTCAGAACTAAAATCAGCTGGAGCAACGCCGACCGCAAGAATATTAGAAGATTCTGATTATAAGGAACTGCACAAGCTTTTAGCCACTCATCAGGAAAAGATATCTAGAGATCTGCAAAATCGGAGACTCAAATATGTAATGTCAGGAAATTTGGATGGCGAGCAAGCGATTAAACACGCTTGGGACAAAATATCAACAATAGTGGCTCAACTAGATCCACCATTGGAAACTCCGAAGAAAGAATCAATAAGCGTCACAACTCAATCTTTTGCAAACAATAATCATTTCTACCAAGAGTTCATGAGAAGAAACATGAATCGTGTCACAGAACCCGTTGTATCAAAGGCCATATTTTACGAAGGCGGTTCTTCGAAAGCACACAGACCGGTTTTCTACTATATCGCGCGTGAACTTGAATCCGAAGCTACCGATATGGAAATTTTAATGTATCACGTTCTCAACACCATCAAATCACGCATGAATGGGCCGTTCGAAGTCTTGGTGGATCTGACACAATTCGGCCCGTCCAATGAAATACAATTGCAATGGGTACATCAATTTATACAAATATTCCCATTCGATGCCGTCGAAAATCTTTCGAAATTGTATTTATACAACACCAACACGGCCTTCAAGAAATTTGCAAAAAAACTTTCACGTCCCTTGTCGCACCAGATATCAAAGAGAATGATATTTTGTTGTTCTCTAAATGAACTCCACGAGTATATTGCACCACCCGATGTGCGACTTCCGCAAACAACATTACTACTTGATGCAAGAAAATCTCGTTCCATCTTCTCTCCGGTGAATAGAATTTCCCATTATCGAGTGCAAGTTCCCGTGACCATTAAGATATGCAATGAATATATTCAGATCACAACGGTATCTTTTTCTTTTTTGAAATCATTTATCGCCATTATTTTAAATGTATAGATAGACCAATCCAAAATTACTATTTCTCTATCCCTTCTAATAAAACAGCAAAGAAGACAAGAAGTTATCAACGGGTTAAGCTGTCAATTAAATGACGTTTATCACGTCTCTGAAATCGATGATGCGAGTAATTCTCATAAAAGTGATGAAGGCGAGTTCCTGATCAAACTAAATCATGGTAGGCCATCGCTTTCGTTTACAAGTCCCAAAAGAGGCGACATCCTGCAGGCGATTAGATCTTCGAAGGTACGCAGGGAAACTCCCTTGGCCTCATTTTTTCGGCAAGGAATAAAAAAAAACTTAATGATCTTTTCGTTTAGGCTAGGTATCAAATGGTGAAACCGACAAGCATTACCGAAAGGGTCATTCGTCCTAACAGCGTGCCTGGTACACTGTTGAACATGGCCTTGTTAAACATCGGAAGCGAAGATCCGAACTTGCGATTGGCGGCATACGACCTATTGGTTTCTTTGAGCCTCATCTTCAATTTTGATGTGGGCAATCAATTACTCAGCACCAAGGGACTTTGCATCCCGGTGAATAACAACACTTTCGTCGTTAAATTAAGTGAAAGGCTTGCCTCAACTGAAACACATATCACTTTGGAGTTTCTGACGGAATTCTTTGATGGTTTCTCCAAATCGAGCTCGGCGCAAAAACATCTATGCCTTCAATACATGAGTCCGTGGCTTAAAAATCTTTCATTGTTTTGCAGAAATGGATCGGAAAACCAGAATAACATCAAGAACACAAGGGAAATAATAAAGTTATTAATTGATATGACCACCAAGGAAACCGAGTTATACACAGCGATTCAGTCGAACGTTTGGAATACGTTAAAAGGGGTCGATGATATTACAAACATAATAATTGATGAGTTCATAAAGTATGCGGTAGACCATGGCATAAGCTCCGCCCACGCCGAGACGGTTGCCAACACGATTGTCACATTGTCGTCGGTTAATGTTCGCGGAAAAATTGTTTCCAGGCTTCGTAGGGTTATCTTGCGAACCTCCTCGTCGAAGACGAAAAATCTCACAGACAACCCGGCGTGGACTGAGATTGCAGTTTTAATTCGATTCAACCTCATGTTATCTTTTAATAATCACGACTACATCCAGTTGTATCTTCCAGAATTATTTCACATAATTTCCCTTCTCATCGCGACTGGACCTCCCCTCATAAGAGCTTCGGTTCACGGATTGATAGTCAACTTGGTGCAATCTTTATGTACCTCTCAACATCTTGGAGAAGAAAATCACAAACGATTGACGATACTACTGACGGAATTGTCCGAACCTAGTTTTTATTATTTCTTTGGTTTAAATCAAACCTCTGGCAATGCATTTTTCATATCACCAGAGTCCACGCGCAATTTAACAGACGCGATGCCTCTAAATTCTTTGGAGACAGTAGTTCAAGCACTCCTGGAAGTTATCATATGCGGTGCATCTTCTACAGATGTTTCCAATGCGTGGCGAGCTCGTTGGATGGGACTCGTTGCGAGTACAGCATTCCAATACAACCCTTCGATACAACCGAGAGCTTTTGTTGCACTTGGTTGCCTGGCCCGAGAAGAAGTTGATGATGACCTGCTGTATCAGATTCTGGTTACTCTGAAGACGGCACTGAGCGCATTCTCAGAAACGGAATGCTCGCTAATAATTAGCATAGTGATGTGCCTCACGAAAATAGTCGAGAACCTGACCGAGAAGTCAAAATATCTGAGACAAATATTTTGGTTAGCGATGTCTCTCACGCAGATAGGACACACACAAATATTTCAGAACGCTGTTAACTTGCTAATTGTCGTCTTACGGTCGTTCGATACTCATGGTTTCTTTGCACACGAAGACATCGCCACAGTTCTTTTAAGCTATCGAGAACCTTTACAAGAAGTAGCCGATGAGATGGATAAAGAGAATGGGATTAATTATAAACATTTTTCGTTTGCGGTAGCAGCCGCATTACTGAAAGGATTAAAGAATCACTCAACAAAAGCATCCGCAATGACGGTGCTAAAGCTATTCCTGGAAATAACTTTTAAAGGGTTAGAGACCAGAGAGCAGAATCTAATTCATTCATCTATGTTGGGATACCTGGCTGCCTGTCTACCGATGTCGGCGAAGACCGGAGAAATGAAGGAGTTACTGTGGTTGTGTGGAGTTTTTGACATGGAATTTGAAAACACCGAACTTTTAACAAACTATTATCCGATAATGGATAGACTCGATATTCCGGACAATCAGACAGCATTGCTGTTGGTATCCTTGATGGTCACACTTCTTCAGAATGCGGAAAGTGAACCAGAGCGATTGTTCTTGTACGGATTCTTGGCAGAAGCGGCAATAAATGTGCCTGAAGTCTTCGCTTTGGTGTATGTTTCTTTCTTATCCTTCATATTTATGTGACAATTAAAACACGCAATATTGACTAACTCATGCATACTGACAGCTACGACGTACTTCAACCAAAGATGATGCAAGTAGTTTCGACCAGTAATACTATAACTATATTAGATTCGATACAGCAGATTTTGATTACCGTTGTATCCGAGCCTCAATATATAATGACAAGGGGAGATCATATGTCTTATCTGGAGGAGATCGGATTCAAACATTTGATGGATACGGGTTCATTTCAACCTGCAACCAGAGAGAAGATGAAGTTAAACGCAAAGCTGGCGAGTAGACTAGTCGGCTGTATGATTGTAATTAAATAATGATGATGATATATTAGATATTTGTATAATTCAGTAGTGTTATATATCCCTTATTTTAGTGTATTATTATTATGAATACTAATTAATTATCTTTAGTGTGATTATTTTTGCATCATTTCTTCACCCATTTCACTTACATTATTTTTAACACACATGCCTTGCTATACATATTCCGTTGTAAATTCGAAGATAAATTTCCATATACAGTACATATACCGAATGTGTGATACAAACTATTTCGATGAAACTGTAACATCTTTATCATGAATTACTTTGTCGTAATATCTTCCTTCGTGGCATTTGAAGCCGCAATGAATCCTAGTTCCACTTTTCTTTGTGAAGGAAAGAATTGAATGTCACTTCGAGAGCTGTTCCATTTGAAAGAATCGCGTTTAAACATGTTTAAAAGCAAATAAGATATAATATTTTGTGAATTATAAACGAGTTAGACGTCTCATACTTTAACTAGGACGTTTTATTCATATTCAGTCATCAAAAAATCCAATATCTCAGACCTTAATCTTTATTGCTACTGTATATCAATTTAATATTAAAAGGGTTTATTTATATTTCATTAATGTCCCATCACCACTTCACAGCTTGAATTATTTAACATACAGTATTTGCAATTAACTTAAAATAAAATATAGATTTTTTGTTATTTTTAATAATATTTTAAAAAAATATTATTATTATTATTAATTCATCTTTTATTGTGTATAAAGTATTATTACAATTTAAATAACTTTCACATATTAACTTACTCGTTATTGAAGTTTAATCTTCGTTAAATACAGCTTAAGAAATAATATTTTACTTTCTATATGATTTGAGTTATTCTTTAATAATAAAGTTTCTTGTTTATAGGTTATTATTATAAAGCTTCTGAAATTCTATTTGATAAATTAAAAACCTAATTATTTTTTTCTTTTATTAATAATTTTATTTATATAGATAGTTATTTTTGAAGATGATAAGATTTTTATTTGAAAATTTCTAATAATCTTTTTTATTCAAAATAATTTAAATTATTTTTTTTTATTCTAAATTTAAAATACTTGTAACTCTATTAATACATAATTAAATTCAATAAAAAAATATTTATTTTAAAACTTATATTATCATCTATAATATAAGAAAAAGTTTGTTAAAATTTTACTAGTTATTGAAAAAATAATATAAATATATTAAATTTTATTTTTAAAATTTGACTATTTTTATAAATTTAAGTTTTTAAAAAAGTTAAGTTAAAATATATATATATATATACTGTATATATATATATATATATATTAAATTTATAATTGAGATATCAAATTATATTCTGCAGAAGCACAAAAACTCTTTCCGCTGATCCTCTAACCACACACAAAAAAGATGTTCGCAAGAAGTTTTATACTTCTTTGCTAATAAAGTCTTTACACTTTCAT